ACTAACGTGTAAATACCTCTGAACTACAGCCCTGGCTAATTCAAGTATTTTTAACTTCCTTTCACAGTGTGAAGCTGCTGTTTACCATGAGAACATAAGGCACCAGATCCCTCCCAGGGTTTCATGTCGTCTTTCCCAAAGACATTACTGAGAGGAAGAGTTTTGTCAGGCGGGACAACCACTGTGCTCCTCCAGTCACATCTTCACCATCTCATTATGAGGATTCTTGCCAGTAAATGTGAATGTTTCACTTTTTTAAATCATTTGCAGAGGTCATGTCAAGGCGAAGTATGAAGAATCTCTCTGTGGCACAATCCACACATGAAGCCAAAGAGTCATGAAATGTTATTGGAGTATAAAATTATAATCTGTAGCATGCATGGGGGTTAAGATCCGTTTGTTTGAACAGGTTTACCATGTGCATTATAACATAGGTTACATTTGACTCATCTAAAGCCCACAGTCTGTTATGGCTAGCATGAGTACAGAATAAATGTGCTTCATGTTTTGATAACTTTCGAGGTTTTGGTTCATTGAAAGAGCATGAAATCCCAAAGGGCATAATGGGGACATGTGAATTAACACCATTACGTAAGTTGATATGACTCAACTTCTGTGCTCGCACAGCAGCACAGGGCGATGAGAAGGCAGAAGAGTCTTTAACACACTCTGATATCCTACCTTGGCTCACTCCAGGCCATTCAGCAACGCTCAGGCTCAAGCAGGACAGACGAACCACAAGGGTGAGTGCTCACCTTTTTAGAATGCAGTTTTTTTAATCCCGACTCTCTTATATGTGTGTTGTACATCATTATTTCACATACAGTACCATCAATATCAACATAGTAACTCAGTGTTTTGTTCTCTATTAAATATCAGTTTGATTCATCGAATGAATAAGAAATATAGTCATTGGTGAGAAATGACAAACCCAGGCTGATGCTGTCCAGATGATCAACTCAAAGGAAGAGCTATTTTATCACTTAAATCATCTCTTGTCTTTTGGGCCAATTACCCAAATCAATCTATTGTTTAAACAATGGGGTGACGGTTGCTCAAATTTCTGTAAATTTCTATAAATACTGTAATAGAACATTTTCAGCTAAAATAGTTAATGCCACATTTTGTGAACTAAACAAAACTTGAATCCTGAACACACCTGAAGAGAAGATGGCCTTTCAACTGCAGATAACCAGTCAGTTTATTTAGTTTAACTCACAAAGTGCTTGTATAAAGTTATAATTGGCATTACTCATCCATGGCTCAAATGTGACAACATGATAAATCACTAGAGTTCAGAGGCAAACAGAACTAAAATATGTGCATGTGGTTTTCCTGTGCGAGCTGTGAGAGTGGGGGGTTTATGAAAGAGAAGATAAATGAACCTGCACGGCCGTTTTGCTGATGCTTTAGGAAAAAAGAAATGGAAATGCTTTGAATAAAGCATCAAACAATGTGTGACTCAAATGTAAAAAAATGACATAACAGCACATGGTGCTACTGAGAACTTGTGAAAGTGAATAGTGAAATAGTGTCCCGGGTGAACCCTGGTGAACCCTGGTCCGTCCTCAGGCCTCAGGGTCTGCCATCTTGTGGGCATAGAATCAGCAGCCGGTTTTATGGGGTCGGTTTGTTAGAACGAGGGAGTTTTCTGAGCAGTCAGTTTTTTGACTAATTCAAAGAAATTCATTTAGAATACACTGCATTTATGTTTTATTTGGTTGGCTGTTTTATCTTAATCTGTGGTAAATGTCTTGACGAACACTTACATAGTTCCTATAATTGCAGATATTACATGGTCTGACACCTCTCTTACATACACACACAATATACAATGTTATTTCACCACTAGTTTGAAAAATATATTTTATTCAAACAAAGTCAGTGCCTCTGTGCTAACAACGGACTGCTGCACAAAGCAGATGCTTTTATAGAAAAGATCTATAAAGTTTTGCAAGTCACCCTTGGGCAGCAGTGTCCACAATGAGGATGAAGAGCAAGAGAATAATCGGAGCTCTTTGAGGGGCTCGTCAAGCTTTAAAAGCGCAATACAAATCCCATTTAGTCCCAATCATTATTACCAGCATGCTCATGATGTCATATTTACATAGTGCGTTTCTCCTTTCAATGAACACAACCCAAAGCACTTTACGTCAAACCACTCACGCATACGCATTCATCCACTCAGCACAACAATGCTCAGTGTCTTGCCCAAGGGCACAGGGACTGCATGTACAGGGGATCTGAACATCTGCTGGGTTCAGACTCGAGCTGATTCTAATGACTTGTCATTGCACCATGGTATGTGTGCTTGAGTGTTGGTGCCTCACAAGACGTTTTAGGGTAAAATTGCCAAAATGTTGATGTATCTCTCATTTGTCTGGGAGGGTCCATGAGAAAACCGTTTCAATGATGACAATTTTATTTTTTTTGGATTGTTGTTTTTTGGTGGGTGGGGTATTCAAGCTAGAAAAAACTGTTAAACGGTATGTGTTAATACTATTTTAAAGAAAGATCTTTCATTCGCCTCATGCAAAAGACATTGGGCCTCATTCACGAATAACTTCATAAGAAACTACTCAACTTTCTTCTCAAGTTGTCCTTAAGTAGATTTCTAAGAAGTCCCCACGTGGGATTCATCAACGCACTCGTAAGCCGCTGAATTGTTCGCAGCTGTTCTCTCAGATTGATGAATCCCATTTCCTCGTAAGTACAGCGCGCGTGCCAGGTGCTTCATTAGCATAGGTACTTAGCATAAGTAACCGCCCACTAATGCCCATATAAGGGACTGCAGGGCCGTGTGCAGACGGCAGAGGAAACAGCAACAGGCCTAAAGCAACAGGCCACGCAGCAAAAAGAGTCACCATTTTTTCTTCTTTTACCAGACTGAGAATAAAGTTATAAAATGTTGACTTAAAAGTCGAAATATTATGATAATAAAGTCGAAGTAGCAACATTATGAGATTAATCTAAGAATATGATGAGATTAATCTCAAAATGTTATGAGCTTAATTTAAAAATATATTATGTATTATTTTAAAGATGAATCTCAAAATGTTTTGAGATTAATCTCAAAATATTTTGGACCCTGGGAGGAGATCCAGCGCGGACCAGCGCTGAGACCAATGCAGACCCGAGGAGAGACTGGAGTGACCAGCACACAGAAACCAGCGCGGACCTATAGGAGAGACCGCATAGACTGGAGTGACCTGACTGGAGAGACCGGTGCGCAGAGACCAGCGCGGACCGAAGATAGACCGCATAGACCAGACTTGAGAGACCAGCGCGGACCCGTATGGATCCAGGAGCATGCAGCACGGACCCGTATGGAGAGACCAGTGCAGACCCGTCTAGATCCATGGGAGAGACCAGTGCAGACCCGTATATGGGAGAGACCAGTGCAGACCCGTCTAGATCCATGGGAGAGACCAGTGCAGACCAGTATAGATCCATGGGAGAGACCAGTGCAGACCCGTATAGATCCATGGGAGATACCAGTGCAGACCCGTATAGATCCATAGGAGAGACCAGCGCAGAGACTCAGCGCGGACCCCGCAGCCTCCTGCAGCAGCAGTATATAGGCCGTTGTTCTGTGGCCCGTGGATAAAGAAATGCCCCCTATAAATAGGAAGGGGTCACTAATACACGGCAAGATTTCCAATGTATTTGATAAAGCGTTGGCACATTTCATTTCAAAATGAATTAAAAAGTAGGCCAGATCTGCAGTGAAAAAGGCGGTATATAAATAAAGATTACTAATAAAGATGACTACAAATAAATAAATACATACATCGATATGACGGACATATCACTGGAATGTTGTATTTTTATTCAACTTCACCAAAGAGGACAACCCCGGCGTGTGAACATGTCGGCACTGAATGCGTACGAGTGCTCCTGAGGACTCGTAGGATTTGTACTTGCCCAAGAGAAATTCTGGTTAAGAGAAATATTCGTGAATGCCACTTTCTTCGTAAAAACCGAGTAAGTAGGATTTACGTACACATCTGTTCCTAAGAACCGTTCGTGAATGAGGCCCATTGAAATTACCATTGAAAATTTGACCAGTTTGTGGAGAAAGCACAGTTGCAGTTTACCTTCATTTTCTGATGCTGTGAGTCTATTTTTGTCTCCAACAGCAGCTGCATGTAGAAAAGAGCAGGACATGTGACCTTTAGCTGTGTGCCACATAGAAACAGCGATGACAGAGGCATTAGTCTGAGTGTACATTCTTTACGGTCATACACAGGGAACAAGAAGCCAATGAACGACTGAACCCGGGAGAAACACCACAAATGCATGTTTCACCTGAGAGGCGAGAGGAGGGCTCAGTCTGACAAACCTCAATATGACAAAAGTGTGACATTTTCTCCATGTTAACCTATGGCCCTAGTTTGACAAAGAAGCACATGTCTAAACTTACCCTGCACATAGAGCTTTTGGAACAGAAGTTGTCCCCTAAAAGCAGCTTAGAGGTTTTTTATTATAAAGTGAATTGAAACCAGTGAAACCAGTTTAACTCAGTGAACCAGTTTAATACATTTGGCTCACGTGTCTACTCAAAGTCTTCAGTCAATGATGCAAATCCACAATTTCTACATCTATTGGTAGTATGTTTTTGACCATAGACCATAGAATTTTTGACCATACTTTGATTTAAAAAAAAAAAAAACATTTGGATTATTTTTCCAAATTCCACATTTTTTTTTAGAAATTCTGAATATTCACTGCTGCTAAAATCTGGACCAAACTGCCTGAAAATGCGAGACAGGCATCTTCTCTGACAATGTTTAAATCCAGATTATAAACAATTCTGTTTTAATTGTGTATACTACTGAGGGGTTTTATATTTTTATCTTTCTTTTTAATGTACTGTGATTGTTTATGATTTGAATGCCTTGTGTGATTGTTTCTATCTTATTTTGTTCAGCACTTTGAGTAGCCTTGTGTATGAATTGTGCTAAACAAATAAACTTTCCTTGCCTTGAACGCCAGTGAAAATGGGAGAAGCGGCTGATGTGGTGAGATTAATACAGAGCGGGAGCGGAGGTTCCCAGGCCGGTGGTAAGGAATGTAACACTAAGACTAAACACATTTATGCTTTACGAAAATGTCCATGATCAATAAGGTAAACTAGTCATTTGTTCTTGAAAGTGGGGCAGTATTTCATAAAAGGGATCATGGTATCACTCAGGTAATCAGTTATGAGGGTGGGAACGTATAGATTGGCTGGTAAAATAGAGAGCTTTTTCTTTCAACTCAGCTCCCTCTTCACCACAGCAGTCGATGTTGAAGGTCCTGGTTTGATGGAGCCAACAGGACAATATCCTCTGCAAACAACAGAGATGAAATCCTGTCAACTCCCTCTGGACCCGGACTGCACCTAGAAATGCTGTCCATAAAACCATTGAACTGAACTGTAAACCAATGTCTGAATCCCAAAATGGTGAGTCCGATAGCATGTACTGAGTCAAAAAAAGCACTTTCTCTGGCACACAGCACTAGAATCTTTTTGACATACAACTACAAGAAACCTTTTCTATGGGCTCTTTTCCACAAAACGAAGTAATAACTACTAAATATGACCTGAATAAAACCTGCTTGTAATGTTCTATCTCTTCAGTGTTGATGCCACAATGACCCCTGTCGAGTTATTACTGCAGAGGCCATAGTTCTTCACTGCTGCCATTTTGGTAAATATTTCATGTCCACTTTTGTACCCCATCCTCTCAATACCCACACATAGAGTACACATGTTTCTGTGCGTTGTGTTTGTGTGTGCATGCGTGTGTGCTTGTGTGTGTGAGTGTGTGTAGACAATACATGTGAATGGTTGAGAGGGAGGCTGCAAAAATATGAGGGATTCAATTAAGCATCTTGACCTTTGAATTCACTCTACTGTGCTACATAACAGCAGCCATTGTTGTTGGTGGTCTCCATGGTAAAACTGGTAGAATTAGAGGTGGGTCATAGCACACGAAAGGTTACAGAGCACATTTAATTATCTGTAATTATAGCATCTGAATATGACTTTTTTATTATGGATATTATTCCCAGTACTATGCTTAGGTCTCTGCACTGTTTTTGATTGTAATGTCTGGAGAACAAACAACGGTAGGCAAGGTTTGTCAGAAATGTTTATATCTTGCTATAATTACTTGACGGTTCTCTTTAGTTATCCAGGTACCATGTTGCTCATAGCCACATTCTTGCTCATAGCCACACTCTTGCCAGCAGAGGGAGACAGACCAGCCAGGTCTGGTCAAGAAGGTTGTTACTGTTGGTTTACTTGGTTAATCTATTATGTGGTGGAATCAGCCTCATTTACGGGTTTTTTTGCGTGGGAAAAAGTCTCTTCCCTGTATGACTAGAAGGTTCTTTTTAAAAGAACATTATTTTATATTTGGCAGATATGATATATATAGCTTTTTCAGATTCAAAGTCCATTGCAAAACAGACAGAGACTGGCTAAAAATAAACACCAAACAATCAAGTCCCTTTAGACAGAGGAAGATACCACCGTACCAGTTTCCACAGTGCAAAGGTACAACGTATTGCACTGTAAGTACTGCTGTACAGTCAAAAATAGTATCACCATATTTTCACTTTATATCTATCTAAATCTATGTAATTATAATAGGGACAGCATAGCACTATTTTTATTGTTCCTGTACACACACAAAAATTGTACATTGACTCAAACCTGCTGGATAATTTGTGTTTATTGCAGCATTTTCAATATGTGATATTAAAACATTAAAAGTCTGTTTCTTCTCTTCAAAAACTATGAAGGTTACAATTCTCAAATCACTTCTGTGTATATACATTGCCATTCTGTTGTGCTATTTTGAGAGTCGTTCTCCAAAGCCTTCACTCCAGTGAGAGCCACAGAAAACACTTGACTCATGCATTATGTGCTTCATCTGCCTCTGTGTTTGAGAGACTGTCCTCCACTGACCCACTGTTCAACATATCAGATTCTCACTACAGCTACTTCAAAAACACACAAGAACTTTTGTTTTTTCCAACTTTATAAAGAAAGCTCTACCGGTTCACATACACATTACAGTATGTGGGTGAAGTGTCTTGCCAAAGGACACAACAGCAACTATGTAAGTTCATGTTGTATGTTTGTATTGTTGAAAAGTATTAACTATATATATGTTCTTTTTGAAATAAAGAAAACATTTTAAAACCAAACAAGGAATTTTGAAACTCTATTAATCTAATTTGAAATTTGTCAATATTGAAGTCACTTAAAAGTAGAAATTTCAAGCCCCAATTTGGTTAAAATATGATTAGGATCATGACGCCAAATTAAATTACATAGTTTAAGCCAGGATTAACACTCTCCTAATGTATGTGCCACCAGAAGAATCACCAGGATGTGTAGATACCGGTAATAAGTTAGAAGGCATAACTTCATAGATGATGGTCAGATTTGTACACATTGTTCAGTAGAGCTCATACATGGGACAAGGGACAAATGTTTATGTTTTGTTTTTTAGTAAAGTAAAGGAACTGGGCTTCTTGACCAGAGTCCTGGGATTTTTATGTATACAAATCCTTGGATGACAAGTTTTTGAACCATGTTTCTTTATTTTGTATAACTGGAGAGTCTTTTTTAATTTTTTTTATTGAAATCAGGTAGACGGTGGAAATATGTTTTTAAGTAGTTTTATAGTCTTACTGATTGTTTTGGAGCCTCCAAACTTAGAAGGAATTCTGAAAAAGGCTTCTAATATCTTCATCATTCCATTCACCCAATTTGACACTTCCTCCAGAGTCCATGAAAGAGTCAATGATATAGTGTCCATGATATTTGAATTGTTTATTTGTGGATCTGAGTGTAGGCTTCTTATCAGACCCATTGTAATAATTTATCATTGGACTTTTTATTAGATAAAATGACATGACACCCCATCGGTTTAATCAGTGTCAGTAAGTGGCAAACATGTGTATTACTGTAGCCTCTTGCACTGAATTCTAATGTCTATTGACCCAAGTGTTTCCCTGAGAGAGTTCATTTCTTCTAATATAAAGGTTAAAGAGGCTGGAGACGAATACCAAACACACACATTATGCATCTGGAAATGTTAAGCAGATAGTGAGTGCTCAGGGATTCATCATTCATTGGTTAAGGTCATTCAGATTCTCACTATGTATGGCTTATGTAGATACAGAGCTTTTCAAGGACTCATGCAATCTCAAACTCGAGATGTGATGACTCAGATTTATTCAAATAAAGCCAACAATAACTACTGTATCTGCTGCACCTATAGCACCAACACACCTGGTCAAAACAGTGAAGGCTGACCGATGGGATGAATACATAAAAAAGTTACTTGGTATTTATAATTCAATGACATTTAATATGGACACCTATAACCACAGCTGTCCTGGCAAAAGTTAAATTGTCAAACTGTGTGACCGGTCTGTCCGTCCACCACCACATTCACTCATGCACCAGTTCATGAGCAATTTGGGGCATAAATTGACACAACAACAGTTTGAACAAAGTGTATTTCATAGTAATTTCTTTCCCTCTAACTTTTCTGTCTGATAAACTTAATTTAATGATGTGACAGAGGGAAAAATACATGAGAAAACTAATTTTTAAACTGTTTTGAAGCCCTAGTTATAGATCCATGTTGTATGCCCCCAGCTTTAACAGTGTAAATTGCAGGCCCCATGTTTCCTGTGATTTACTGTATTTACAAAAATAAGTGTTCCTCTTTTCACTCTCTTAACCATGCACTTTGCACAGGCCAAAAACCCATCCACAAGTTTCAATTATAGTACTTTACTACTCACTAGTCACTTTTCCTGCTGATTATGATTACATTATTACATATTCCGTCCATGTGTTATGATAATTCACTTGTCACTTCACCTGTTGTTGTTATTACTATTGTTTATCTGGTCATATTCTTGTCTGCTAAAGTACAATACCGACCATCTGTAAATGTGAAACCACATGTCTACTGCTGACTACAGTGCATACTCCACAAGTGACTTACCTTTGACCCAAGTGCAATTATAGCTTCAGACTTTATTATCTTATCTTATTATTATTAATATTATCATGTTTGATATGTGCATAACCTGAGTCCTCTTATTTCTATTTCTAGCCTGCTGTGATGTGCGCAACTATCCATCCATCCATCCATTTTCTTCCCCTTAATCCATTCCTGGGTCGGGGGGAAGGCAGTCAGAGCTGCAACAAGTACACATAGCACCAGTCCCTAATGTGCGCAACTATGACATTTCCATACTAGGGTTACTTCAGAATGCGCTGGAAACGGTAGAAAGTCCTAAGTAGCTCTGAAACAGTTGACGTTTTGTTCTTTACATTTGTTTTGTTTGTATGAATGGATATGTTGCTATATGCTGCTACTGGACATCAGATTTTTTCCTACGGGGGATCAATAAACTGTCTGTCTGTCTGTCTGTCTGTCTGTGTTTAATAACAACAGTCTATAGCAGTGTCTCCCAAAGTGGGGTCCGCGGCCCCCTGGTGGGCCGCGAGGGTACTGCAGGGGGGCCGCGGGAGGTCATAAAAAAAAAAATATATATATATAATTATTTAATGTTAAATGTATAATGTTTTGTTTGTAATATTAAAATATTTGTGTTCATTATTTGACTTGAATAAGCCACTGTAATCATTTTTGTATTACAATGTTTGTAGCAGAGGCTATTTCCCCAAAATAAAATAACCAGAAGAGCCTGTTCTTAATGTTGTCTTCTTGGTTATTATTTTGGGGGGCCACGCAGACCCTTCAGATTTTTAAGGGGGCCTCGGTGTTACTGAGTTTGGGAATGGCTGGTCTATAGTAATAACCACAGACCGCAGCTGCAGTACCCCTGTCCTCCAGCAGGGGCAGCCTCCTCTGGCGCTCTCTTCACCACAGCACGTCAGCAGAGCGCGTACAGAGCATGGCGCAGAGCAGGCCAGTCTCCGCAGCGCTCAGCAGCCTTCAAACTTCCCTTTCCCCGTGACGTACCCCGTGTCCGTGTCCAGCAGCTGCCTGTGGAAAACCCCCACTATCGAGAAGAGGAACCCCCTGTTTTGCGGTAGGGCAACACATAAAGTATAATGAAACTGGTTTGAAGGTCGACTTTTTCTCTTTAGGAGACAGTGGAGCGGAGGAGGAAGCGACCACATAAGCGCCGGTATAATGTTGCAATTATTTACAGTCTATATGGTGTACACTCTCTGGATCTGGGATGAATCTGCGTGTATATAGTATGTGTTGGTTAGAATGGAATAGGAGCATCTATAAAAACAGTTCCAAGATGTTGCCAAAGTGAGTCATTCTGTAAGTGCGGGGGTCTGGATTTTGTTATTGGTCTTGGATGGTTGGCAGATGTCTCCTCCTAACATATTTTGGTGAATAAGTTATACAGACAACTTAATAATCGTAGCCTGAGTATACACTGTGCAGTTTTACAGCCGTAGTGGTTTTCTGTGGATGAACTTTTCATCTTCATACTAGGAAACTAGCATTTTTGCTCAAACCTGGCACATGTGTAGAGATTTTATACTTTAACTATACTATACTTTATTATGTTAAAGATATAGATTTTATTATATTGATATTATGTCTAGGCCTTGTATTTTCTATCTTGTTTTGTCTATGTGTAGATGACTTAGTAAAACACAAAACAATATTGATATGAATTTTTTTTTTTTACCAAGCTGTGAATGAAGAGAGTTATTTAGAGATATATGAGAAGGAAAAACTTCTCCTCTTCAGCCCAATGTCTGTATCAGGGCTGTAACGACTAATTGACTAATCGCAACTAATATTTTTTTTTTATTCAACTATTTTAGGAATTGATTCATTGTTACCTGCTCTACTACAAACTTCAACATAATATGTGATGTGAAATGAATTATAAGACACAAACAGAGCAGTATTTACAAAAGAAAGGAAATCCATAAGTGTCTCAAATTAATGATAAGTTTACACAGTCCTCAAGTTCACTTCAACTTTTAACTAATCAAAGAAATCATCGTTAGTTTCCACTTGCAGCCCAGTCTATGGTGTCTTGATTCAATGCTCATCTCAATTATCAAGATTGAATAAAGATAATGTTTTTTTTTTTTTATTGCAATAGTGACCTTGCTTTGAGAATGAGTCTGATTTGTGTGTGAATGGTTGGTGGTGGTCGGAGGGGCTGATGGCACATACTGGTTGCCTCGCTTTTGTCAGTGTGCCCCAGGGCAGCTGCGTCTATTGTAGTAGTTTAGGGCTGAAACAACTAATCGATTAATCGACGACTAATCGATTATTGAAATAGTCGACAACTATTTTAGTAATCGATTAATCGTTTTCTGGTTCACACGGACACAAACAGAGCAAAAATGACATGAAAATGTAGTATTTTTGATTAAAACCGACTTTGTTTTTATAATTTCATGAATATCTGTCTGTCTCATCCAGTCAGATAGCAGAATTAGCACAAAGAGCCTGTTACAAACATTTACTTTAAATTTACGCCATCAATACGTCCTCGAGTGTTGCCACTTTAGCTTTTTGTGATGAAAAAATACATTTTTTTTCTACACAATTCACAGCCAAGCGATTACTCGATTAATCGTAAAAATAATCGATAGATTAATCGATTACAAAATAATCGTTAGTTGCAGCTCTATAGTAGTTTATCACCACCGTGTAGGAGTGAAAGAATAATGACATGTGAAGTGTTCCCTGCAAAGCACTATGCAAAACCGATGCATTACTATTATCATTACTACTACTTTACGTCCCCACTTCCTGGCTTCCTGCCTTGTTAGTTAACCTACATTGTTATCTGTAGTCCTGTGTTAGCGGTGATATCCCTCTCCGCTGCTGTTGTGATAGTGCTGATGCATGTGGAGCTGAGTCTTTATATGGACAAACTTGGGGAAGAGGAGTGTGTGTGTTTGTGTTTGTGTATGTGTGTGTGTATGTGTGTGTTTGTGTGTGTGTCTCAGCTGTTGGACTCAGCGACAAACAGGTGTGAGCAAAGAACTGCTGCTGGTCACACAAGTCCACGTCTGATAACTGCGCAGTAGGATGGCGGGAGCCCAATATCTGTGACCCACTTTTAAAGTTTATATTTTGAACGTTGATGAATTGAATCAGCTTCCACAGTGTTCTTAAGGGCTGCAGTTGACCAAAGAAAGTATTGGATGATTTCCAAAGACACACCAAACAACAAATTAAGGCACACCAACGTCAGCAGTTTCAGTGTGCGTCTCGACACACTGGGTGAAAAACACTGACAGAGTTGGCCCAAACTTCACTCATAAAAGTTATGAAAAGACGACTGTTTTTTAGGGGGGGTAGAAAACACAAACAATTTTGCAATTACAATAAAAAAAAAGGTCAAAGTAAAACTAAATACCAGCATCTTCAGCTGTTTTGCTTCATATCTTCTCATTTTCGTAGTGCTCATATACACATTCTTGAAATTGAAATTTCATCGACTGATTAATCTACTAAAGATGGATGGCTGTTGTTATTTTTCTCTCATAATTCTCTCGTAAGACAAAGTGGCTTATTGTGCTATGGGAAAGTAGAAGATGAAATAGACAATGGACGGGAATAGATGAGGAGAAGACAGGAGATATTCACAGATGCCCTAAAATAGTGAAGGAATCAAAGGAGGTACCAGCCAGGCCCCCTTTGTGTGTTACTGAAGAATGTAAATGCAGACTGAGAACGCCAAAACACAGGTCACAACAACAGTTGTGTTCTTTTTGTGCTTTGTTTGACCTGATTTTTGACCCAATCAAAACTCAAAAGATTTACAATAATTGTTTTGTCATTTTTGTTACTCGACCTCTTCTCACCACCACTGAAGTACAGAGTGTTTTTGGGTGTAGGCTGACGGTAAGCTAGGTCAGGTTGTTCTGTATCCATGTTGTTTAGGTCTACAGTTCCAACCTCTTTGTTGTTTTGCCTTTTTTTCTATTCTGGGGCTTCCCTGCTCTACAATGACCACAGAACTAGGAAGAATCCTTTCACTAATGTAGTTTCCAGACTGTGTGGGTTTTATTAGAACTTACGGGATCATTGTTTAGAAAATTGTTCATTATAAATTGTAATTTCTTTACAGTAAAATGGCATAATAGTGATAGAAATCATTGAATTGACCCTCTAGGAAAAGATTAGACATTCACTTGTTTTGTTTATGAGTATTACATTAACATCTATATTTAGTCGTGGTAAATTATTATTGTAATTACAGCTTACTTCTTCGATAGATGTTTATCTCATTGCTATGCCATTCAACTCATTGAAGGAAAAAAAATGGAGAAGTTCAGGTTTTGAGTGAACTCTGTTATTTCTGTCTCTGAAACCAGTTTAAATCACTGCAGTAACTGACTCACTCTGCTCTGGACCAGCACAGGGTCTTTAGACTTTAGGCGGTTGTACGCTGTTAAGAATGTAGTTTGTTGCTTTTTACCATGAGGAAACAGGACAGTGTCAACATAAAACAGTCAAAACATACTTCCGGCTTTCAAATTAAAGTCACGGTGCACACCCTGAGTGCACCCAGGACCCCTGGGAATTGCATTATAATGGACTATGGCAAGCTTATCATCCATGTGAAGCATATTTTTTGGGGAAAGGAAAGAGCAGTGCATAACAGTCCAAACTTTGATGGTAAGAGCCTCAGTCTTTACACAAATTGTACGCTGTCGTAATAGTGTTGAATAACTGTAAGCACTTCCACGTCTGACTGATTTGTGCTTCTTCAGTTTCACTCAAAGTTGACAAAGAACACTGATATACAGCCTGACTCTAAATGTACTCACTCTGTTTGGGTGGCGTATTTCCACAACTGTGAGTAAGTTCAACCCGATTCTAGCAACAGGCCTTTGAGGTGTTTTGTGATATGTGGCCGTTCCCTTGGAGAGTTAGATCACACGTTGATACAGTATGAGGCTGGGGCTGGGACTGGGGCTTTGTGAACCCGCGTGTGGAATGTTCATGTTAGTCTTTTGGCTTCAGACTCGGAGGCCCAGAGCAGAGACGCTCTTCAGCCTCAAAACAAACGTGTGAAACCAGACCCAGGAGTATTTCAGGACCATGAATCTCTCCAAGTATCAGCAGAGCTCTGATGGTATGCCACATGATCTGTCTCAATGTACGTAGTTGTTTTAAAATGACTCCTGTTGCCCAGGTAGGTATGATTCACGGAAATCCTGGCCTTTCTGGGTGGAGTTTGCATGTTCTCCCTGTGTCTGCGTAGGTTCCCTTTGTCTGCGTAGGTTTCCCCTACCACAATAGGTAAATCCTTCAGCTCGGGTCCAGACCAAGCCGAGCATCAACATCTGGAGAGGGTCCCTGGGTGTTGTATATGGTGACCACTGCTCCTGACAGAGGCCCTATTGACGTTACAGGATGGATCGCCAATAGGGCCGATTATTACGGGGATAAATGGAATGCACATTTAAATTTAATATTGGAAGCATTTGTTACTTGTTACTTTGTCAAGGGTTGTGTAGAATGCTAAAACTAATATGGATGCTCTTGAAATCTGAGTCTGAGTCTTTTCATGGTAAAAAAAAAAAGGAAATGAGACACTAATTTGAGAAAGTACAGGACAAAATTTGCCATTTCTTAATACATGTTAGATAGAACTCTTATAAAACCCTATGGCTCCATAAAGAGCCTTTATAAATATAAAAATGGGTATCAAGTATGAAGTATTTCACCTAGTATCAATTACATGCTAAATAAAGCATAATAATATTACAACCTCAGTAATACAAAGTAGTTTGGGGAGGCTATACTACACAAGTAGTGAGTAAGCAATACAAAATAATGTATCAAAAATATAAATGAACAAATAACTGCTGATTTATAATATTTATGGCCAGATGAACCAACACTGAATTGTAGGGACCCACATTTTAAGACCACCTTGTCTCAGGGCATGTCTTCTGAGCTTAAGCCAGAACAGAATAACTAAAGCTATCAGACTATTGTGCAAATTTTGGGTTGATGGAGGAAACATACATGCCTGGTGTTTCCTGTTTGAATTAAATTTACTAAAGCTGTCGACCTGTAAAAAGATGAGGAGTAATACCAGGAATAGAATAGGGTTTGGTATACTTGTTGGTCGTTTTGTTCAATGTACAGTCATGTGTAAAACCAATATAGTAGAAAAATGCATAATGCTAAATAAGCTCTACAAAACCTCACTGACCAGAGACCTGGGCAGGGGGCAGGGGAAGGGGTGGTCCTAGAAATGGACTGGTGGTATATTTATAGCCCCACAGCACAGGCATGCTCTGTTTCTCAAAGACTGTAAGGAGCACCACAGACTTTCCTGTCGTATATTCTAGACTCTTGTCACATTGTTGTGGAGTTTAAACAGGTAGGAGGATTACTTTGTTACCAGCATATTTTATATTTTTTGCTTGTGAAATGAAATAGACACCTGAAAATGTCTGTGAAAAATCTTATATGTTTTCTGTTTGTTTAGGAGAAGAGCCCCTGATTGGAGTGGCACACAGATGGAGAAGCCGGCGTTGCAGACACAGCCGTCCACGCTGCCGTTCTTTGACACAGCTCATGCCTTTAACCTCCTGCGGGGAATCCATGAGCTCCGCGCTGAGAGGAAGTTCTTCGATGTCACTCTTTGCGCTGAAAGCCGTGAGTTCCACTGTCACCGCACAGTCTTGGCTGCGGCCAGCATGTACTTTAGAGCCATGTTTGCTGGTACTCTGAAGGAGAGCGCTATGGACCGAGTGGTTCTACACGAGGTGTCGGCAGAACTGCTGGAACTGCTGGTGGACTTCTGCTACACAGGGCGAGTCACAGTCACTCAGGACAATGTGGATCTACTGCTGAAGACGGCAGACCTGTTTCAGTTCCCCTCAGTCAAAGAGGCGTGCTGTGCCTTCCTGGAGCAGAGACTGGACGTGTCTAACTGTCTCGAGATACAGGACTTTGCTGAGGCGTATGACTGCAGACAGCTGGCCTCTGGCGCGCGCAGGTTTGTCCTGAAGAACATCATGGAGCTGGCCAAAGGTAAAGACTTTGAGCGGCTGTCGTGGAAGCGCCTGCTGGAGTTTGTGACGGACGATGAGCTTTGTGTGGACAAAGAGGAGACTGTGTACCAGATCGCAGCGCGCTGGGTCAAGGCGGATCTCCAGCGCCGCCTGCACTATTGGTCTGAGCTCCTACAGCAGGTGCGGCTGCCCTTTGTGCGCAGGTTTTTCCTCTTAGCACATGTGGAGAGCGACCCCCTGGTTTACCTGTCGCCCACCTGTCTGCGGCTGGTTAACGAGGCTCGCAGCTTCCAGTCGTCTGAGTACGACCGCCACGACCGGCCCTGCCAGCGCATGCGCCCGCGGCCCTCCACCGGCCTGGCCGAGATCCTGGTCGTGATCGGAGGCTGTGACCAGGACTGCGACGAGCTGGTGACTGTGGACTGTTACAACCCTCAGACGGGACAGTGGAGGTACCTCGCTGAGTTCCCCGACCACCTGGGGGGAGGCTACAGCATCACTGCCCTGGGCAGCGACATCTATGTCACAGGTGGGATTTGACTTATCTGACTATTATGCCTTTATTTACTCTATCAATCAACATTTCTCGGCCGTACAATTTTGCTGACTTTTCTAATCGTTGTAATAAACCCAAGTAAGTCACATTTACTGTATGGCTAATTTAGCTGTTTTGTAGAGATCCAGAGTTTAGAGGATTTTCTTGCCGTATTGCAATTGCACCAGTGGCACAATTATATAGTTTATTGCAATACACCTCTGATTCTCTAACATTTTCCCTTAAAGGAATAGTTCACCGTTTTTACATACTGACATATGTTCTTACCTTACCTTAGACTAGTTATTACGTACCTGTCTGGTCTTAGTCCGTGCGCTCTGTCATGCAAACGGAGCAAAAACGGGAGCACAACCGCAGCCTCCTCTGTATATTTTGTAGCACCAAAAGGTAGCTACCGCTACAGTCCATTTTCTCAGCGGATAAAACGGGTACTATATTGTGAGGCGTAGTAATCTGAGGAGCGCTACGTCCGCGCACTAACTTCTCTCCGGAGACTTCTCTCTCGCTCACTTCCGTCAATAGAAGCAGCGTGACTTGTAATACACACAGTAGCAGCGAGAGAGAAGTCTCCGGAGAGAAGTTAGTGCGCAGAGAAGTTAGGAGCGCTACGTCCGCGCACTAACTTCTCTCCGGAGACTTCTCTCTCGCTGTTACTGTGTGTATTACAAGTCACGCTGCTTCTATTGACGGAAGTGAGCAAGAGAGAAGTCTCCGGAGAGAAGTTAGTGCGCGGACGTAGCGCCCCTCAGATTACTACGCCTCACAATATAGTACCCGTTTTATCCGCTGAGAAAATCGACTGTTACATTTCTGTGTTACTATACTTTGCAGTGTAACACGTCACGTAACTATATACATTTAATAGGGAACACTTGGAAGAGTTTGGTAGCTTCTAGCGGGAGCTACCTTTTGGTGCTACAAAATATACAGAGGAGGCTGCGTTTGTGCTCCCGTTTTTGCTCCGTTTGCATGACAGAGCGCACGGACTAAGACCAGACAGGTACGTATTAACTAGTCTAAGGTAAGGTAAGAACATTTGTCAGTATGTAAAAACGGTGAACTATTCCTTTAAGAAAAGCTATTTTCACTCATGAACTTGTTGAAAATGTCCAGAATTAGTATTTTTCAAGTCATTTTAATTGCCCCACCTCTGCACCATTCTATCAGTGTTCCAGACTATAGTGACCTTATGAATTGTCTGCAGAGAGAGCTTATAAATAAATAGCTCTCTCTTTGGCTGAAGGCAATGCATGTGAACATAAAGACAAGAAACAGAGTGTGCTGCCAAGACCCCCACTGCTCTGCCATCCTATCATTTACAAAAGCTTTATCTGAAAACATGACCAGCTTCACCTTTGAGAAATTATCCAAGATGTTTACTCAGACGCATCAAGGTCATAGCATGAAACAGATATAAATTTAGCTTTGGGAGATCACTTGAGAGTTACCAGCAGCGTTGTGTAATCATGCTTTTCACTTTTGGAATTGGTCATAGATGTAAACTTAGACAAGTTGTATTAAAGGTACACCGTGTTATCTTGCACGTCAGCTCTTATGTACAACCAGCTCACAGTAAGAAGAGAAGAGGTTTTGGTTCATATTGGACATTGGCAGATACTGAAAGCCAAAAATCTGTAAAAAAAAATTGGCATTATAACAAAACAGTGTAACCCTTGTCTCTGTTAATGCCACAGATTCAGACGTGAATAGAGTAACAAACATGACATATTGAACGTCTTGATAGCCTGTATTTAGAATGTGTTGAAAATCCCACAGGCGGTTCTGATGGCTCACGGCTGTACGATGGCGTGTGGCGGTACAAGTCGAGTGTGAACGAGTGGACCGAGGTCTCTCCGATGCTGAAGCCGCGCGAGTACCACAGCTCGTGTGTTCTGAAGGGACAGCTGTACGTGGTGGCCTCGGAGACTACAGAGCGATATGACCACAGCCTGGACTGCTGGGAGTCACTGCCCCCCATGCTGCTGCCCATGGACAACTGCACCACCACCACCTGCAGGGGGCGCCTGTTTGCCATCGGCTGCCTGGCAGGAGAGGACACCATGTCGATGCAAGGTTATGATCCAGAGACCAACCGCTGGACTTTGGTGAACTGTGGTCAGCTGCCGCCTTGGTCCTTCACCCCCAAAACAGTCACATTGAACGGACTCATCTACTTTGTCAGGTGATTAGCAAGTCTTTTGGCGTTTCTTGAAAGGTATCAGGACAAAAAAGATATATTTTTTTAGTTTTTTCTAATAAATTAAGAGAGAAGCTAGAGAGCACAACCTTAAATGCTCTCAAGAATGTTTTAAAATCTGATCATACATTTGAACTTGTTGATTCTTTGTACTCAAAGAATGAGCTGAGATGTTTTTAACCATTTATATTGAAATCAATCTCAGGCTTTACTGTAGCTGCCAGAGAGGCCAGAGTACATCTATGTTTATTATAGCTTTGGCTTGAACCTGCTGCTGTTTCTATTCACAGAGACGATTCAGCTGAAGTGGACGTGTACAACCCTCAGAAGAACCAGTGGGACAAGATCAGCCCAATGACACAGGTCTGATGTCAGATTAATCATCAATAGGGCTGGTAGCTTTTAGCGTTTGCTGATACGATACATTCAATTTTATATGATTTATTTCTGTGCAATTTTCTGTATAATTCACAAAATAATTTAAGGCTTAACGCACATAAAAAAACTGGTGCACTTGTCTTCCATTTCATGTTTGTTAAGATTGAGTACATTATTTGCAATGTGTGAACTATTAAAAAACATCAATATATCAAAATACACAAAATACATCTAAATGTGTATTATATCCATTAAAAAAAAAATCTAATTATCAAAAAAAATATGATTTAGCACACCTCAAACCCACCAAATCAAATATTTTTGATAATAATCAATTGGGTTTCTTAATTTTAACTTTCCATGATATAGAATTATAATGGATGTGTTTGTAATCAGTCAGATTTAACTTTTACACAACCATCAAACAGGCCACTCTGCTCACAACAATACACAAGTTATCAGACCATTGCTGTTTATGACATTGTTTATAATTCTTTATAATGTACATTAAAGCTAACTGCGTACTAAAAATGCACTCACAGAAGTCTCTCTCCTTCTCTTGGCCAGGTGCACGTTGGCGGTAGCGTGGCGGTCCTGGGCGGTAAGCTGTTTGTCTCTGGAGGTTACGACAACACGTTTGAACTGTCCGATGTGGTGGAGGCCTACGACCCCGGGACGCGCTCCTGGACGGTGGCCGGTCGACTGCCCCAGCGCACATTCTGGCACGGCAGCGTCAGCATCTTCCGACAGTTCATGCCGCAAGTTTCCAATGTGTTCGAGCCGCTGGGAGCCCCCGATTCCAACGCCATCCAGCTGCACCGCCACCATCGGCAACAAGTGCTCCAGAACAATCTGAACAATCTGAACCAGGACGTGGACGCGCCGCTCTGATTTAGGCCAAAGAGCGAGAGAGAGAAGTGTGAATGTGTACAGTGGGCCTAAACAAGGACAGTACATTTGAAGGTACGATAGATGGATTTTGGAAACTGTAGAAAATCATTTTTAAAAGTACAATCTAAATTAATGAAGTACAACTGAAAGTGATCAGACCAAATAAATTCAATTGCAATTAGTAGTCTGGCTCCGCGTGAAATCCTGCAGTGTTTTCACAAACTTTGCAAGAATTTAGCTTACAGCGCAAGGGTTAAGAATCAAGGCTGTAGCATGGAGTGGAGTGGACTGGCACTCATTTGAACATACACGAGCTGGAGCCAATTTTTCATAACAGGCAGACAAGTTTGAAGGTTTGAAGAATCTTATTGAATGAGAATGAAGGCATCTGGTTGGTCAATTCTTATATGGTTCATCTGGATTTACAAAGACAGGAACCTTAGACTATGTTTTTTTTAATCCAAAAATGCTGATTATGACACAAGCAGTTACTGAGGTAAGCTAGGGGTTAGCATTCATCTGTATACAGTCTATGGGCTTCAGACACACTGTAACTTCTATGTCTGCTTGCGTTCTGACACAATATGGCATTTCAAACACTCGGTAGTAGCATTGTCCACCTTCAAAAGTGGAAATTGGGGATGTTGACTGATTTTTTTATTCACAAAAAATGAGGTCAACTCAACAAAAAGGCTCCAGGTGGGTGGAGAGGTCCTTCCTCAAGTGGATGAGTTCAAGTATCTCGGGGTCTTGTTCACGAGTGAGGGAAGGACGGAGCGTGAGATTGACAGGTGGATCGGTGCAGTGTGTGCAGCGTGCGCAGTGATGCGGTCGCTGTATCGGACCGTTGTGGTAAAGAGGGAGCTGAGCCGAAAGACAAAGCTCTCAATTTACCGGTCAATCTTCGTTCCCTCCCTCACCTATGGTCATGAGCTTTGGGTAATGACCAAAAGAAAGAGATTGCGGATACAAGCGGTCGAAATGAGCTTCCTCCGCAGAGTGGCTGGGCGCTCCCTTAGAGATGGGGTGAGGACCTCAGTCACACAGGAGGAGCTCGGAGTAGAGCCGCTGCTTCTCCACGTCGAGGGGAACCAGTTGAGGTGGTTCCTGAAGGAGAGCCCGGGGAAGACCCAGGACACGGTGGCCTGGGAACGTCTTGGTGTCCCCCCGGATGAGCAGGCGAAGTGAATGGGGAAGTCTGGGCGTCTCTACCTGTATTGCTGCCCCCGTGACCCGGCAACGGATGAAACGAAGGAAAATGGATGGATGGATGGAGAAAGGCTCCCATTGAATTACAGCTGCAAACTGTACTAATTTTTATATTACCAATCAATCAATGCATTTACTGCATGTATCAATATATCACTGAGCCATTTGCAGTTTACCCTGAGTCCCTTATGTTTAAGCTCTCTGACATAAATTGGGCTTTAATTAAGCGCTCACAGACGGCTGTCCTGATTCAACCTCACTGGATTCACCAAGAGCAGATGTTCACCAGCTGTGCCCACTTTCTAAGGCATTTAAGATGGCTGCGATATTTACTCATGTTTCTTAAACAAATAGCTTCTTCCCTATAGTTTTCTCATCTGGTGATTCATTCACTCAAACAATAAATGAAGAATTTCCAGCAGTAAAACAAGAGGCAATTTTGGGGAGTTTCCTGATTCATCCCATAATAGTTGATATGACTGAAATAAGAAGGCTTTTTATTTTTCATCACATGCCCAGCTGCTTGATGGTCATGTTTGGTGAAAAAATACAATAAAATCAAGGAAATTCAGTGTCAAATTCAAATATCCCATTGATGGAACAAGTGACTGGTACATGTCTTTGTCTAAAGATAAATTGGTACTGTTTTAAATTAATGAATACTTTATTTCAAGCCATTGCAGACAAGAACAAATAACAAAAAAACAACTGAATAGAATAAAAAGAAAAACAGTACAATACAAATACAGTATGTTTTGTTTTATTAACAAAAAGTTAGCTCGAAAAGAAGTGGGCTAATAATTTCCATATGTGGAAATTGTAGGATCACAACAGTTCCCAATGTCGTGGTTTGATCCTTGTCTTGTCTTGTGTGATGTGGTGGTTTTAATCAGCCAACAGCATCACAGTACCCGTGCATGAAGTTATTTTTATAGTCATTTTGTGTATTGAATGTTAAATGTAATTTATGGACTTGTTTTGCGGTGTTCTCAATGAGTTGTTTTGTAAGTGTAGTGAGTATACTTTTAATGCATCCAAACTGGAAGTGCTCTCAACCAATCTGCATTTTGATAAACTTATACCTGTTGAAATTGTCATTTGGATTTTTTTTTAGTAGTGAATGCAGTTTACTTTGTGAATAAGCTTGATAATTGTGTAGTGTTTACATGAGCTGGAGGAGAAGTTTGCTGGTTTGACCCGCAACTAATAAGCAATACATGAACATTTTGTATTGGAATATTATTTTTTCATTTCCAATTAAAGCTATGTTTTGTAAAACTTTACTTTTGAATGGTTTTATTTTTCAAAGATTACCATATAACATAATTTTCTTAATGCCTTAATACATTTGGGAATTAAATTTGGAATATGGATGGAGTTGGATAAAATAAATCCACAAATAAGCTGTCACTATACACCAACTGAGATTTAACACAGGGGTCTGCAATTGTCATAGAAAGTCCCTCTCTTCCAAAGAGAAAAAGTAGTAAGTAAGTAATCTTTATTTATATAGCACCTTTCACAGACCAGAATCGCAAAGTGTTTTACAGTTGTTGTGGGCATTTGTCTCTCACCCCACACATGGGAGTGGGGTCGCCGTGAAGGAGTTGCATGTCAGACCTATTGTGCATGTTTTTAGTGGTAGGGAAAACCTATGCTGATACAGGGACAACATGCAAATTCCACACAGAAAGGAGGTGGAATCGAACCCAGAACCAAGCACCGAAAAATGTATAATACTGTACATCTTAAAAACGTGAAAATTGAAGGTACAGAAGAAGGTTGATACTAATATACAGTAGATAGTAATAATAAAGAAGTCTTCTAAGTGATAAAAATAACGATACAAATAAGAGTAATCATTTATAAGACCTACTACACCTTGCCCTTGTGGCCCTTGAAGGATCTTATGTGTGCATTGCAACTGATTCAACAAATAATACATTTAAATTGGACAAAGAAGAAAACGTAATTTGTTTCATAATTTCCGTTTACTAAATCAAATCCATATTAGGACAGAAATGTATTTGTTTAGTCCTTGCTTTCCCCCACTTCATCCATGATTTGCGACAAGTCAACGGTGCTTTCCAAACGCTTTGGCTTTTTCTTCTTTCGTTTTGTGGTTTTCCGTTTTGACACTTCAGCTTCTTCCTCATGATCTGAATTCAATAATGCGTCATCCTGGAACAAGGGGTCGCTTGTGTCTTCCGCGCCATCTACGGTCGATTTCTTCTTTGGCCTTTTGGGTTTCTTGGGGAATTTAGGCTTCTTTGCAGATTTGTCCTTTTTCAACAAATCTTCCACTTTTTTGGCAGAAACGTTGGCTTCGTAAGTATCGTCCACCTCCTCCACGATGATGTTCCTGAATTTCCTCTCCTTAGGGTTGTAATTTTCATTTCGCTTGTGCACTAAAGTGTGACGACGCAAGTGGGCCTGGAGAAGGAAATGATCAAAAGGTCAAATCTGTACAAAAAGTAATACATTTGGTGTTAAATTTGGCAAAAGACACAAAAATGTGAAGCTTGAGGTACCTGATTAAGATTCACTTGTTGTTATTGCACTTTCTACTTAAATAGTACATTTTGGTACTGTATATAGTATGTTTTTTTGTTTGAATTACCTTGAAAATAACTAATAGAATGGACTTCAAAGATGTTTTACCATGTTATAATTGTGACACACAATTCATTATTCATGCTTGTTTGTCTCATCTTTATTTTCCTGCTTTGAATATTTCTGGATATTGCACCAATACCCAGAAATCATTGCAGCTGGTTGAAATATTTGAATACTTGTGGGCCTCCCATGCAAATCTTACTACTGACCTGTCGCGTGAACTTGTAGCCGCAGTCGATGCATTCAAACTTCCTCTCGCCTTTGTGTCGGTTCAAATGCGCTCGCAGCTGTTCTCGCGCTACGGACAGAGGGAAAAAATAAATCGACTTTGGGTTTAGTCAGAAAACGAGATCTGTAGATGAAACAAATGTCTTCCTTTTACTTTAGAGACAAGCAATTTCTCATGTATGTATTTATTATTAACAAGGAAGTCCCACCACATAAAATCTGCTTTTTAGATGGAGGTCTGGCAGAGAGGCACTTTGCAACCATTAATATTTACTGTGGTAAAATAAAAACAGGTACAGTACATACTCTCACATTTTCAGTTTTGGTTATGTAAAATAATCCAGTAGAGGAAATTATCTTCAATTAAGATTTAAATGAGATCAGGGAGTTCCAAGAGTTCCTGTAGCAGCAGTCAATAATAAATACTTTGCAAGATGATGAAAAATATCACAATAATTGTTTAGCAGATGTGCATAATTTGTAATTCATGTCAAACTTTCACAATTTATATATGTATGTTGGCAAATTGCACTTTTTATTGAACTGTATTTTAATATGTATGTTTTATGATTGTTTTGTCAAGGACTACACATGAAAAGTATCATGGAGCTAAATCTGGTGCAGCCATCTTTTGAATGTAACTGCACACACCTCGCTCCCATCTCTGTGTGGAGTGAGAGACAAAGGCCCACAATTGTAAAGCGCTTTGTGGCTCTGGTCTGTGAAAGGCGCTATATAAAGAAAAATTACTTACTTACTTACTTATATTGTCCTTAATAAACATAAACTTAAACTCAAGCTACTGGTATATTTTTTCTAAAAGCATCAAACCGAATTACTGCTGTGAATTTTACATTGAAATCCAGCCCACACATGATAGAAAGCTGAGCACAAGTATGAAGGACTGCCAACTGAATATTGCTATAAAAACATGATTTTTCGGATAAATGTCTCCCACCTATCCCTGAAAAGGCACACTGTTTGATAATCAACACTATATTAGGCAGATGAGAGCGGCCTTGCCTTTGAACGTCCTCCCGCAGATGTTGCAGGAGTGTGGGCGTCCTTCTTGGTGTTTACTCTCCACATGTCGTATCATGGCTCCTTTCTCGGTGAATCGCTGCTGACAGAACTCACAGCTGAAGGGCCGCTCCCCGGTGTGAGTGCGATTGTGTTTCTCCAGAACTCCTGAAGTACAAACATGACGGTTCTTTCTAAATGTAGGTCATGCATCACTTTGAATTCAAGGTTACATCATCATGCTCAGGCTGGGTGTCCACTGACTACGGTCTGGATACGCCAGAAGAATCTGCAGTTTCTTATTTTGCCAGACTCAAAAATAAATAGGTATATTCTTGTGTGGAGCTCTTAAACCTGTGCAGCTTTGTCCAAAACCGCTTCATAGTGACCAAAGTCAGTATAACAAACAAATTGCCAATCAACCCGGTCTAAATGCACTGGAGCCCAAGTCAGTAAACACCAGGCAGATAACAATTTTAATATACAACAACAACAAAAAAGGTACTTCAAATAAGAAAATATAGTGAGAGGCACAATATCATGGAGCAAGCTGTCCGAGCAGAGTCGCCGAGACATTCCTCCACACAATCTCCAGAGTCGTTCCCGGGACAGCTGAGCCACTAAGTAAATATGCAAAAGTTATTCAGCCTCCTCTACACCACAGCGGTTCAAAGCAGCGACAACATCACAGAGGAGCACACACATAGTGCACTCAGAGAAACGGCAGACGGTGGGATACGGTGTAGGGTGGAATTCTGTCATGGTTGTCATTTTGAGTTCCTGTTTTATTTTGTATTCTCTGTTCTCCTGTGTCATTTTGAGTTCTACTTCCTGCTTCACCTGTGTCTCCCATTTAAATTCCCGGTGCTCTCTCCCTCTTGTTGTCAGTCCATTGTGTGTTTGTTCCTTAGTTCTTCTTTGTCCCCAGCTCCTTTTTAACATTCAGTTGAGTTTGTATTTTGGGTCCTTCCTCCTTATTGAAACGTGACAAATCCATCCAACAATGCTTGACCGCATACGCTTTCCCAGCCCTGACACAAAGTCCTGACCCCTCCTCTCACCTTGAGTCCTAAATGTTTTCCCGCACAGGTGACACTGAAACGGCCTTTCCCCAGAGTGCACCAGCATGTGCATGTTCAGATTGTTCTTCTGTGTGAATGCGTGGCCACATTCAGAGCACACAAAGGGCTTGTAGCGTCTGGAAACATTCAAATCCAATGTAAGAGACAATAATTAAATATCACACTGCAAGTTTATGATTCAGTATATTCTAAGGGACATTTTCTTTAAAAATGTCTGTAGCTTCATGGAGCACACCCTGTCTGGATATAATGTACAACCATTGTGACTCGAGCCACGGAAACTCATGGAAGGAATAATCAGGCGACAACACACAAAAACTGCTGTAGTCTGGAATAATAGTTGTATAATAATGTGTGTTGAGTCACTTGTGCACCTGTGGATGGCCTTGATGTGCATCTTGAGTCCGTTTCGAGTTGTGGCTTGGTGTCCACACTCCTCGCACACAAAAAGCTTCTCCCCTTTATGTTTGGAGGATTCATGGCTCCGCAGCTCGCTCTTGGTCATAAAGGACTTGTCACACTCAGGACACTACAAAGCAACATACAATTATTTACTGGTAATTAAATACAATTATTGAAGGCACACTACTGACCAACTTTCACGCCAATATTTTATTTGCCAGAGTGAATGAGAGTTGCCAGTGTTTTCTGGACAATTAGAAATATTGGGGTTGGATGTTACTAAATGTGTGCAGATTATACAAAAGTAAAAAATAAGCATGGCGTTATTCAACGTTTCACTTATACTACACTCAAACATATTATAACCTCTATTATTCAACTTTTAACAATGTTATAATGGTTTACTTATCTTTTGCAAAGCAATTCATGCATGCTTCATAAATGAGGGCCAATGTGATCGATTAATTGAATTCAAGTGAAAACAGAAAAACAATGTGTGGTCTTACTGCATGAGGCTTTGGAGCGCCATGAAGCTTCATCATGTGGCTGTTCAGATGTTTCTTCAGCATAAACTGCTCCGGACACAACGGACACTGTAAATATATCATGACATGTTCAAACCCAAACATCTCCAGAACTGTCATTTATTAACATTGACCACAAGATGATGAATGACTGAACTACACAGGGTGTGTGTAACCCTCAGATTGTGTAACTCAGTTGCAGCATACCTGGTTGGGCATCACTCCAGTGTGCGTCACCAAGTGTACAACCAGCTGCTGTTTTCGGGAAAACGTTTCAGAGCAGGTAGGACATGTATGAGTCTGTGAAACATAATGTTCATTATTTACACACAATAATAAGACCGTTTTCAACTGAGAATGGTAAAAATAATGGTTAGTTATCAATGGTGGTCTCCGAGTCCCAGGCTCAGATCATGATTCTTACCTGAGCAGTGACTGCACAGTTTCTGGCTTCGTGCTCCTGAAGATTTTCTTTTCTGAAGTATCTTTTTCCACATTTACTACAAGAAAATGGCTTTTCTCCAGTGTGCCGCCTGACCACAAACACATCTTAAGAAAACCTAACGGCTTTTAATCAAGTTATAACAGTTTTCCCATAATATTATTTTTAATATTGTTATACCTGATCATGCAAAAGAATAAATGTGTTGTTTTTTTTTCATTTTCACATGGATCAGTAACATTGTAAGGTGTACCTATTGTGGACTTTAAGGTAGTACTTGCTCTTGAAGCTCTTGTTACAAACGAGACATTGAACTCCACTCTCCTTCTCTCCTTTGTCTCCGCTCACTTCATTGGGGTCACTTTTACTCTGCAGTTTCCTCTTTTTCTCTGGCGTTGCAGCTGGAGTCTCAGGTTCATTACAGTCCCAAGAATCAAGAGAGTTTTCCACAAAATATTCAAAGTCCGGATCATTTCCATCATCTCCATCATCTCCATTATGTACCAAGGGATCTGAGTGCTCTTGCTTAGTCTGTCCACTAGGAGGCTACAAATAGCAACGTAAAGACTATTAGAACAATATAATTGTTTTCTGACTAAAATAAGATTTGCCAATGGAACACGCATGCAGTGGATACTGGAAATGTACACAAACTTGGTATAGACAAAATATGTATTATTCAAACTATATGAAATAAAATTTTGACAGTAGCTGTAGAATGTAGTAGTAGTAGAATGTGAGATAAATAATTCAGAAGAATTAATCACCAAACTTGAAGCATTAGAAATAACTTTGGTAAACCTGATGAGTAAAGAATATGACTTGTGTGCTTACATATGTACACTTCCTGCTTCTGCTGCATGTACTAATGTACTGTATGCTAATAGCTTAAATTACAAAGTTCAGTTGAATAAAACAAGGATGAAAGGTGAACCTGTGCACCTGTGTGTTGTCATTTACAATTTGCCAGTAATAATGCAGCTACTGTGCAATTGGAAAGAAATTTGGCTCATATTCCTGTTACATACAATGGCAATAAAATAATTCTGATCCTAATGTCCAACAGCGACTGACCTCACATTCACCCACTGCCCTTTCTGGATTTGGTGTAACCACTTGCTCAGGAAAAACGTTTTTGCTTTGGTCAGTCACAAGTTCTTGGGTCAGAAGAGTTTTGGGGCATTTGACCACACGGCCGGAGCGAGTGGTTTTGGGGACTTCACTCTCCTCTGCATCACTGCGTTCATCACCAGTGTTATTCATAGGCAACTTTTCCATCTCTGAAATGCCATTATTATTGGTTGTTATGGTGCTCTTTTTGGGCCGGCCTCTTTTTCGCTTCATAGTTTCTTCAAGAGGTTGAGTGAAACGTTCACACATCGCGATCACGTCTGGGACATGGAGGCTTGTGGCCACATGTTGTACTTTGTGACAGTTGTTATTGTCCAGTGGAAGCTCTCCTGTGTAGATGAAGTCCAATAATAACTCCAGTCCCTCATCTGGACATTCAGTCAGACTGATCACCATAGCATCCTGGACAAAACAGGCAGCTCAACATTAGAAGGTTCAGTGATAATTCAGTGAGGATTTTTAATTTTCACAGAATAAACTGTTCCTAATATGATTTTTGTCCGTCAGTTAGATCATCAACATAAACTCTATTATGCACCAGGCATGAAAGTCTTATCACAAAAATTTACAAATATTTACATACAACATAAACATACATAATATTGAGTTTTAGTAACATTAGTAAAAATGAAATGAATTACATGAATAATTCTCAATTGTTACTTAATCTAAACAAAAAATAGTAGAATAAGTGTGCTTATTCTACTTATCTTATTATGCGGAAAAGTTTCTACAGTACTGTACTGTCCAAAACATTCCTAAAAAATTCTCTACTGATTCGGGTCACCCCCAAAGTGTCACCATCATTGAGGTTTCCTGAAGATTTGGGCCAAATTATGCTTCAAGGTGAAGCTTTAAGATTCTTTAAGATTTGGGGGGCGACAGTAGCTCAGTTGGTAGAGCATTGGCCTTAAGCCCAGAAGGTCGTGGGTTCAATTCCCACCTCTGCACCTTCTCCACCGACTCCCACTGATGACTGCTGTCGTTGTGTCCTTGGGCAAGACACTTAACCCCACTTTGCCCAAAGCCCCCACTGAAAGATCAAGGCTATGCTCACACTCAGAGAGCAGCCGTCCTCCTGTGGACTCACCACCTGCAGAGGGTCAGTGAGGGGCTGGTGCTATGAGACTTGGGTGGCATCTCTGACTGCCACCCCCCTGACCCAGAAATGGATTAAAGGGAAGAAGATGGATGGATGGATGGATGGGTACACCATGGATCTAAAATAATAACGGGGTACACTTGCTGATGTTGGACAGTTGTACCTGTGCGTTGTCCTGGAACATTTCACTGAAACAGGCGAGGATGTTCTTGTGGGCCAGACGCACCAGACCGTCCCCCGCGCTCAGAGCTGCATCACACAGCTTCCCCATGGCCCTCTGCTGGTTCAGCACAGACAGGACATGCTGTGCATGGCCTGCTCTGGACATCCTTAAGTTGCCTGCAAAACAAGAGGGAATTGCAAAGCCTTGCTCAAAACTCAGATTTGTAAATCTTTTGGAGGTGGGCAGAAAACTGTGAAATATATGTTTGTTTGAAATAAACAATGCCACGCAATGCCGTTATATTGAAATATTTATTACCATTAGTTTAGTCTTTATTTGAAAGGGACAGCGCACAGCAACATTAAGCTCAAAGATGGATATGTTCTGCACCAGATTGTAGCTACACAGTTAATTTCCATCTGCTGTCCCCACAATGAATATAATGAATAAAACATCATGTAATATAGTCCAATATTGCCAATATAATCAATCACACCTTTAATAGTCACATTTTCTCTTGCAACTTTGAGGTTTACATTTACATTTATTTCAACTCATATTTAAAATGAAAAGTATAGAAAGTATATATGTTGGTGTCTAAAGCATAGATTAGTCAGTCCATGTAAAAGGTTTTAAGAAATACCTGTGCGGTTTTAATGTTTATGATTTATGTGATGATTTATGCCTTATGTGATATGGGCTGTGATGCACTTCGTGTTAACTTGTGTAGGAAAAGAACTCAACAAATAAAGGCTGATGCTGGAAACAAGCATACTTAAAATAATGTACTTCATAAAAAATAAAAACATTGATTACTCCATCTCTGTAACAAAGTGGAAAGCAGTAATTTTGTGATTATCAAATTACATAAAAATTATAAAAGACTGAACTAAGAGTGAATTCATAGCGGGGTCTATATTGTGATTCCTGCTTAGTGTACAATCGTATCCTTACACGTATTTTTGAATGCGTTATATTGTCTGTGGCAACGAGTGTTCATCTTATCATGGAAAATGGTCAAATCCCTGGCTACGCACCTCACGTTTACAGCGACACACGAATCTTTCAAGACGATCCCTAAGCACCCGTCCTGTGCAAGTGCAGGGGTATCAGTGTCGCTCCAATTCCATCGAAATCGATAGAGTAACAAGTCGCATTACTAATTAAAATAATATATCTAACTTGTTTGAAATAAAAAGAGTTGACTGCGCGAGTGTTTTGTAGCTAAACTGGGCCCTGAAATTGCTAATGGAACCGGAAGTGTCGTCGAACCTGTCGTAAACTCGTTGTGAAATGAGGTTCAGCGAAAAAATATGACAAAACAGACATAGTACTGTATTCGGGACACAAGAGTTTCTTTAACATTCATGAATGCACACACTTACATATAGTTTGATCGTGCATGTTGTTTACGCTGTGAACTAGCGTTACATGTGAAGAACACTTATCAGAGTTGCCATGTCCGCTTTCTGGCAATTTTGGATGTTTTATTTTTTTGGTCAGTTGCATGTAATTTTTTGAAAAGTGTAAAATAGGTGCCTTTATTGGGGACTTATTCTTCATAAAAGATCACTCGTTACTATTATTAAGATCATTATCATTACAGGGGCTTGAATGCTGGTTGGTTGCTGTCCAATTACCTGGCAACTCCGGGACCGTGTTTGGCTCACACATGTGGCTAACGCTAAGCTAACTCACAGCGCTGTTCCCAAGACATAAGCGTGGGTCGTTATTAAGTGAATGTGGTGTGTTTAAGAGAATACCTTTCCTTATGTGTGATTTCGCAGAATTCGCACAGCTCGTAGGTAAGTTTTATTCATGGGTTACCATCTTGCTAGCTTTTGAATAGTTAGCCGCGATCGTTTGTTGTCACAAATGAACTAGCGTTAGAAAATGTGTACTAAATATTTGATCTCACTTATTAATTTACCCGCAGTGCTGTATTTACCAAGCATCATAGCACATGAGCTCATTTAACGTTAATGTGAAGAATATCCTATCAGTTTCACTGGTGCAGAGAAATGTCAGTCGATAATGTGACCACACTGTTACAAATGTAGCTTGTTAATGCATCAGTTAAAGCTGGACTACCTACTGGACTTACCTACCTACACTAAAGTAACGCTGGGTAATAGAATCAATGTAACTTGATATTGGATTCAAGCATAATGCTTGTACGCTTGTCACATCTTCAAATAATCTTTTTCAGTAACTAAAAAGAGTACCAGCCAGTCAGCTCTATGTGTAAAATATGTTTTCCTTTCTTAATAAGATCAAATCGGCACGTTGTCTGATTTGCTCACATCCTCCATAAATACGACTCTTTCTGTTGGGACAAACAAAATATATATGAAACAAAAAGGTTTTATACTCCAGCTTTGAAGTTGTCGTTTCATTCATTAGCATGTTTTTTCAACTATGTCACTGCCTTAAAGATGGATAGATCACAATGTATTAGCCTATGTAACAACTTGGTTCAGCTTGGGTGTAACAATGGAACCCAAATGTTGAAGTAGTTATACAGAACAGGCTACATAAGCATAATGCAATACTAACTTGCTCTCAAAGACTCACCAGTGGCACAAAAACACAAAGGTGTGAATAAATCCAGAGATAAAGTATCTGCAAAGAACACCTTAAAACAAGCTAAATGTTGCAGAAGTTGGGTTCAATTTCAATCAATTTCAATTGGATGAATTGAAAATCATAGATCCAGAATGTCATGGACATGGTACAACATGACACCGTGGTACTGACTGAATCAACAAAGCTTTGTCTCATTTTGAGGAATTCCATTTTTATTTATTTATCCATAACAATATTGCATAAAATCATCTATTATTGGTTGAGGTATGCGTCTGGATACACACAGTCACAGATATGTTTAAACTAACAGGCAACCTATGGAGTTTTTTGCCACCTATTTTTTGTTAATCCTTAATCTAACAGTATCTATCTGTTTTCAGACCATTTCCTTATTAAACTTCTTGCACTATGAAGGTCAAAAGAAGTGCACAGAGTAGAGGACATGGCAAATCGCAAAAGTGGAAAAACGCTAAACGGTGCAGACCAAAGAATGTTGCTTCATCCGACCTGACCTCCAGCCCTGCCATGGCTCGACTCATCAATGAACATCATGTCTTAACAAAGAAAAAGCCCAGCATCAAAAGACTAGAGACTAAGCCAAAATCAATCTTGGACTCGAAAAAGACTGGGCCGCAGAAGTTTTATGCTCACACTAATGGGAATTCTGGCTCTGCAATGGAAGAGGCTGAGGAAATGGACCAAATCTGCTTTTCCGGGTTCAGTCGGCATGGAAACGGTTTGTTAACAGAATTGATAGACGATAAGCAGTTTCTTGAACCCGGCAGGCTGGAGGGCAGCGCGCTTCACCACTGCGCCGTAAGAGACGATAAGAAGAATCATGCCGTTGTGGTCATGCAGAAGGATCAGGTACAAATCCCAGAGTGTATGTGTGTTAAATATTTGTTGTTTTCATAATAATCCTAGTGTGGTAAAGTGAAATCTTTAAGTGCACCTATTTAAATAGATGGACAATATTCATTATTGAACAGTAGTCTGAACAGTCTTTTGCTCCATTGTAATTCGGACTGTGGGGAAAAATTCAGTAATTAACATCCATGGGTAATATTGTTTACAAATAAGTCAAGATGTTTCAGAGCATGTACAACACCAATCCATCTAACATGATGACATTCATTTGGGCAGCATTTCTTTTTAAAAGGGGTTGGTTGAAGCTGATTCTTGACTCATTTATCACAGACAAAATGGCAAGGACATTTAATGCAGTTAAAGGTTATGTTTTCTATATGGCGACATTTCAGTATTATCTTTTACTGTACATTAGGGCTGGGCAATAAATCGAATTTAGGCAATTAATCGGCTTTTGAAAAAATCAAATATGTGAAAATCATGAAATCGAATGAGGGATACTGTGAGAGTTCCAGCAGCACACAAATTATACTTGCAATATCAGCACAGTCTGCATAATACTTTTATAATACGTATTGGGGGAAACAAATTAAACATAATTTTGAAACTTGAATATTGAGCCAAAAGATCAGGGCAAATTCTGTCTTCAGTGACTTTAAAGAAATCGTCCAAAGCAGTAAATAAAATCGAGATTTTACTTTTTTGCCAAATCGCCCAGCCCTACTGTACATCATCATTTATATAAAAAGTTGACATTTTTTTCCTCAACCCCCTCCCCCCTTCTCCCCTCACCATCTGCAAATCTAGCTTTTTATTCTTCTTGTCTCCGTAGACCTTGTGTTTCCGTGGTAAGTGCTTCCTGACGTGCCTTTACGGCCGTGTGGAGGTGATGGGCTTTACCATAGAAGAGGGTCAGCAGCCATACCCGCTCTTCTCTCCAGCCTCACACAGCCCCATCACCGTCAAAGCCACAGACACCGAAAACACTGGTTTGAATGAGGACACTGCGCACCTGTCAGACATCCTCAGAGACTATCTCACGTCAGGTAAATGCAAGCACTCAAAGGTTAACACATTTGACAAGACTCGCCTTGTAGTAAATGGCTCACAATGAAATATCATAACCATGAAGAGCTGGACTAATGTTTTTTATTTTTAGCTCTATAGAATATCAAAATGTTTGATACAACACCTTTATTGTTTGCAGCTGGTTACTGCTTTACCACGTATAGAGATAGTGGCTATGTTAGGCTGCAATGGTCTATTTTCTGCATTTAATTATTTAATGGGTGTTTTCCAGGATCCAGGAAGAAGTTGATTGGTAAAGTGATTCGGGACTCCTCCATCATTTTATTGGAGCCTATGGAGTCAACATTGACAAGATTTCTGTCCAGTTTCCCAGATCTTAGTGAATTATTCAGTCCTCCAGCGGTATGCATAATTTTCAATACTAATTCATAATTTCATGATGACATGGTTTAATGTCTAATATTGCCTTTCAGAGTGAACTTCAATCTGCTGTTCTTGACACTCCACTAAATGGTCTTGGTATAATTCCTCTGTCAAGTAACATAGAAGGCATAAAGTGCTCAAAAAGTCTCAAGAATGTCTTTAACACACTGATTGATGCTTGTAAAGGTAAATGGGAGATATAGTTTTTAAATTGTATTTAAATTTGTCAGTTTTTACATCTCAACCAACTTGTTCTTACAGGAGACATGGATGATACGGTTATCCTGGTTTGTGGTGCCAAGAATGTAGGGAAGTCCACGTTTATCAGAATTCTCACTAATACTTTGTTAAATCAGTAAGTAATTAATTTCATTGTTGGTTAATCTGGTCATATTTATCTTTTTGATATGTTGATAAATATTGTTTTTGCAGCACTGGGAGTGTGGAGTATTTGGAGGGAGACCTGGGACAAACAGAATTTACTCCCCCAGGATGTTTATGTTTGACAACTGTTAGTGAACCACTTTTAGGTTTGTTGAATTATTTCACAATTATGTACAAGGCACACATTCAAAGCTTCAGATTAAAAATGTACTTAACTTCAATTCACATTACCCCAATAATGTTACAACCCAGCTCAGCTAGGTAGGTAACAAAAAACCAAGATGTTAAATGAAAATAAAGTATTTTAGTATCAAGGATGTAAATGATAAGGTGACATAATCCAAAAGGACACAATACATGTCATAAGGGGGTAACTGCGTTACCAAAAAAACCTAGCCTAAAACCTCCACAATGACACAAAAGATGTAGACATAATTTAAGATTTAAAAAATTGACTTTTAGAAGAGGCGCTTGGAGTCCCCCACTGTACTCGAGCGACTATTTCTCTTGACTGGTTGCCTCAGTAATTAGGAGGATGGGTCTAATGAAAAGCTGTGCTTTAACCCAATATCTGAGACATAAAGATCTTGCATTAACGGCATTAAAGTTGACACCCCACTTTCAAAAGGCAATTGCAATTGTTTGCGAGAGACTGAGACTGAATATTATTCCGTTTTCAGGTCCTCCGTTCACGCACCAGTGCACACCAGAGCACATGATCTACTATGGCCAGTCGTCCTGTGAATCGGACCTGGACCGGTACCTGGAGGCTCTGAAGTGTTTGTGGCACAGACTTCCACAGAGCAGAGAAGGGCCACTCATCATCAACACCATGGGCTGGGTCAAAGGTGGGCTCAATAGGCTAACTTTGTTTTGTATCATTTGTTAATAGCTTGTTGTGTGGAGTTCCTCCTGCAATACCCTCAGGGTACATATACTCCTTTTTGGGAAGCTTATCTGTACATAAAAACACAAAAGTGTATTATTGCAGTGGAGTTAGTTTTGTGTATATATTCCCACAATAAATGAAATATATATATACATATAATATATATACATATATATATATATATATATATATTATATGTATATATATTATATGTATATATATATTATATGTATATATATATATTATATGTATATATATATATTATATGTATATATATATATATTATATGTATATATATATATATTATATGTATATATATATATATATATATGTATATTATATGTATATATATTATATGTATATATGTATATATGTATATATATATATATATACATATATATATATATATATATATATATATATATGTGTATATATATGTATGTATATATATATGTATATATATGTATATGTATATATATGTATGTATATATATATATATGTATATATATGTATGTATATATATATATATGTATATATGTATATATATATATATGTATATATATATATATATAATTATATGTATATATATTATATATATATATATATAATATATATATATATATTTATATATATATATATATATATATTATATGTATATATATTATATGTATATAGTACAGACCAACATTTTGGACACACCTTCTCATTCAAAGAGCTTTTTATTTTCATGATTGGGTTCAGGTCCAGTGACTGGAGGCTGGGTCATCTGACCCAGCACCCACCACTCTTATTGGTCAAATAGCCCTTACACTGCCTGGGTGTGAATCTACAGTCAATAGTCATGAAAAGAAAGGAACCTCATTGAATGAGAAAGTGTGTCCAAACTTTGTGTGTGTTGTTTACTAGTGAGTTTTAAATAATAAATAATCTATCTTGCTATTGGCAAATAAACTGCTGTTGTTTTGGCAGGGCAAAAATATATTCACATTACTTGAATTGGTGTATACTGCACTACAGTATTTTATACTGCTTCTTTATCAAGCTACAGATAGAGATTTAATTTCTCAAAGTATAGAGTTGTGGTATTCTTAATATTCACTTTTTTGTTGTGTGTCCCTCATTCCTACTGTTTTGTAACTTGTGATGCAACACTGAAATTTCCCCACCCTGGGATGAATAAAGGATCTCTTAATCTTAATTGATTTGTTTTTAACCAAAGTGCTTGAGTGCTTAACTGTGAGTGGGTAACCTAGTTGTAGGACGAGGTATTTTTTATCTCACCATAGGAGGTATTCTGTCATTTGCTTCAAGTGGTTTGAATATTGTGGCGTCTGGATGTCAGGCAGAGTATTCAGTGCTTCTTGTGTGCAGGGTTCGGGCTGCAGCTGCTGGTGGATATGTTGCGCTTCTTCCCGGTGACTCATGTGGTGCAGTTGGGCTACGGTGGGACTCAGCAGTGTCCCTCCCTCACATCAGAGTTCCTGAGGACTGCACAGGGATATCAGACCCATCCTCCGGCTCAGTCTGCTCTTGACGACATCACAGAGAGCTCCAGTCTGCCCAGAACCTTTGTCCACCTGCCGGTTCAGTCGGAGTTTGAGGGAGTAGGGACGCAAGGGAAAGCGTAAGAACAACATTTCATCTATGGGGTATTTTCTTATAGTTATAAACGTGAACGTACCTCTTTGGGCTGAGAGATAATTGGCAGATGTTATACAACCTGACTGGTATGTACAGTCAGTGCTTGACACCAAAGGAACCGTGTGTGTGTTTGTGTGTTTAAAAACATATGTTTTTTCAAGGCTGTCTCCAAAGCAATTTCCTAGTTTGTGACTTCTTGTTAGTCACATGGCAATAAAAGGATTCTGATTCTGAAATGCCATGGAGTGAGTCAGAGCGGTCTCTGGCAGCTATAGTCCTTTGAAGTGAACAAATAGACGGTTAAAAGCACCAAAAATAATCTGCGACTCCACTGGCCCATCTACACTATGCAGTGTGAGACCCCCTTGTGATGTTTCATTTTACTGAAAAAACTGTAGTCAGTGTGAGCCAGAGGTTTGACCAAGAAGCAACACATTTCATAATTTTAAGCTGCATGATCAAGTATTTTGACATAAAAGATGTTTGGAGCTGAAGCATTGACTACTTTCTACTACTGTGTGAATTAAAGGAAACATCAGCGCACTAATGAACTGCGAGAGCTGTCTTTGCTGTCTTACCTGAGTCGACTCCAGTCTCCAGACCCTGGACCAGTCAGGCCTCTGCACAGTCTCACTCCCTACCAGGTACTTTCAGCACAATATATGTTCTGTGGAATAATTGCCTTATAGGTCAATATGGTTATATTGTAAGTGGAATATATTATTAGTGATTTATTGAACCCCATGTTAATAAATTCATTTTCTTACAACACTGAATCCATGGTACTTTTTTTCACTATTAAACAAGTATTGTCTCACAAGTAGTTTATTGGAAATATCAGAGAACCTCTAAATGACATAAGTTCATTTCACTACATTTTGCTACATCTTGTGCTTGATTATGTTTTTGTGAATAGGCAAAAAGTGTCGGACACTAACCAAAGAATCAAATAAATGTACAATGTTCTGTTTTTTTGTGTCAGGTGCCTCACAGCGCGGTGGCTCTGGGTGTGCTTCACTGTACAGTGCCTCCAAGTCACATGCTCCATGCTGCTAATGGCAGCCTGGTGGCGCTATGCTGCGTGGTAGAGAAAGTTACTAACAGAGGGAACCCTGTGCTGTTGTCCCAGGCGCCGCTGTGCTCCTGTGTTGGATTTGGTGAGTACTGGACTGGTGTTTCCTGAGATCCTTTTCTCACAAAGAGGAAATTCTACAATTGCAAATAGGGCTTTGATTGGCTCTGAACCTCAGATAACACAATCCTGTGTACTAATAAATCTAGTGTTTTACTGAATCAATATTTCTACTTAGTAACAAAATGCATGTAAATGTTATCATGTTTTGCCGCTATCTATTGTCCTTGTATAAATTGTCCCTTTTATTTGTAAAAAGACCCCTATTTGAGTCGTCCCCAATATTTGTTTTTTATGTATTTGTATGTTTTAAAGGTATTATTCGAGGCATCGACATGGTGAGAGGTCTGTACCATGTGTTAACTCCAGTTGATCCAGCCATCCTCCGAAATGTCAACTGTCTGCTACTCGGAGCCATTTCACTGCCCTCCTGCATCGTCACCATACAGGTCTGTTTAGTCTGCTATTCTTTGGTCATTGGTCAACAACAAGAGCAGAGTCAAGAACACTTTCACATAGATTGACTATTTTATTTTTACAAGAAACGTCCATTTTCAAAATCATTTAAAACAAATTGTTCCTTTGTTAAAAATTTTTTTTAATGTGTGTTATCTTACAATATTACATTCAAATTGCATTTGTTTTAATATTCTTGCATTCCATTACAAAGATGGATATGTGCCTTAAACTGCTGCTTTGTGACAGCTTCAAGTTCTAAAGTGAGAAATGGCTACATAATGATTTACTCTTTAATGTTCAAATAAAGAAACAAATTAGACTTTGAGAGCAGGTTCCATACATTAATTTTCCTTCAATTCAATTGATTCTTGTATAGGCCTAAATCACAACAAGTTATCTCAGATGACTTCAGAAATGTTATGCACGGAAATAAGAGCAAATAAACTAAGTATGTAATTAAAGGTCCAATGAATTGTATTTTAACACTGTTAAATGTCTGTTCACAGGAGTCTGATGAAGACTTGCCTTACGTCACATCTAACTACAGTTTCGACCTTACTGGAGCAGGGAAGCTAAAGGTTTTCAAAGGATTATTGAGACACAGTCAAGTCGGACGCCCGTAGTTCACAATAGACTTCTCTTCAACTGGCAGACAATAACCCATTCACACTTAAGCACAAGACAACAGTATTGAAGACCGCAAGTTGCAGATCATCTTATTTTCTCTTATTGGTGCTGTGAACATTTTCCAACAGAAGTTCTTCTATGGACTTTGTAATTCCCAAATCTGATCAAGTGAAGTATCTTGTTTGTCTTCTTTGTCGGTGACATTCCTGTTCATTACCTGCTGCGCTTTCCAATAAAGTGTTTTCAAGAAGCCCCTTCAGTCCAATATTTACATGATTTATGCCATTGTGCCTTGACCTCTGAATAGGATCGTAACCAACTTAAATGTGACTGGTTTTTATAAGAATGGATGATGTTGGTGCAAATAGTTTCTATCTATAGCAAATAATTAGTACCGTAATAGAAGTAATACTTTCTCAGATATTTTGAAAGTTATCATACTGTTTGAATATGTTAATTATTCAATGATCAAATGTATGTGTGAACGAGCTGTTATATTGGAGACCCATGAGATTCTAATTAGAGTGTCACCAAATATAAACCTGGATTATATCAAATATTAAATTGGGTTTATACATGTATAACCATGGTAGGTTTAACAATGACTTGGGTACTTCTATTTTTTCATAGATTTGTCTCTAAATTAAATGGATTTTGCATACAGCACCATTATTTAACACCATTTACTACAATCCCACTTACTACTTAGTGTACAGTTAGACAGGAATTAAGTCAGGGGAAATGTTTACTGTGCATTTGCAAAACTTTTGATACAGCTTGAATTTATGCACATTTGGCGCACACACGAAACATTGAAAAGTGTCAATTTATATAAAGAATCCCAAATCTTTGTTCGTAACATGACAACGTGTTCAGTGTGTTCAAACATGTTCACGTGTAATTTCACATTTACCCTGCAGAGAGCAGTATTTCTTTTGAGCACATATCCAGTTTCAGATATTTTCAGAACAATCAGAGTTCTTAGAGATCTTAGTTTTGTCACTTTCCCCAAATCATATTTCTCCTATATGTTTTTGTGTATTTAATACATTTTTGAATTCCTTTTAAAAATATGTATTTGTCAAGAATATTTATTGGAGAAGCAGTGGTGAGGATTTCTGAATGTCATCTCTCATATTACCATTTCAAGATAAACTGTCCTGTCCTCAAACAAAAACTGTATTCAATAGAGATAAGGCGACTCTCCCAAATTAGTCTGAACAGAGGACTTCGACAAAAACAATATAACATAAAAATCTAACCGATAAAACAGTTCAATAAATGTGAATATTTTGGTAATGAAAAAAACTAGATAACAAAGGCCTGGCCTGTGTGACCCTTCATGTAAAGAGTCTATATGTATATCATACATTGGTTTCACATTTTAAGTTGTTTACCTTGTTAACAAGTTCATTAATCTGCAAGTCAAACCAGAAATGTCTATTGTATGTTGCTCAGCTTTTCCCTCTTGAATCCCTTGGTTTTGCTGTACTGTAACAAAACAAGTGGATTGTCTCGCCTTGCCTGTGACTTGTTACAGCCAGCAACTCGGTCTGGACAGTAAATGACCTGGGGAAGAATGGCTGACCTGGTTGTAAACAGTGGCAGAATTGCTCATTTGTTAAAATGACCTGTGGTAACGTGGCTTTCTGGCCCTTTAGGTCCCTTTTGTTGACTCTATTTTATGGAGGCAGGAGGGAGGGACCCACAGAGCGCTCACATTTTGGAACAGTCATTGTTTTGGCTTCGTCAGCACACATGTTTTCCCATAGAGACAGAGCCTGGTAGTGACAATATAAACCATAGCCACATGATAATAGTAGCCTGGAATCCCTTATTATTCACAATGTATAGAAAACTGCCATACATTTATACAACAGTAATTTTCTAATGATCAAACAATCTAATCAATCTGATAAATAAATGACATGAGATTTTTAATTACCTATTTTTACACCCATTTGGATAACACTTTTTTATCATATTGATTTACTCACTTAGTACTTAGTAAGCCCAGCATTTACTTATTTGACTTATCAATACTTTTTCCAATACATTTACAATTTTAGACTGAAAGAACAAAAAAGAAGCTGTAATTTCAACAAACCACATGTTTCCCACCCATGAGACGTTAAATTAGACGATCATGTGTATGTGTAATAGGACTTTATTTATTAAGCCCTTTAAAAAAACTATACAGGCAGAATGCTGAATAATACAGTTTTGTTTACTCAAAACTAAGGTACCTAATTTATAAACAATATATGAAACTAATGTAATAAATAGTATTTTAAGATCGGGATACATTTTATAAATAATCTAGCATTCTGAAAACAGCTTGGTTTTATTGCTACTAATTTTCACATGAATGCATTTTTCAGTGATAAATAGAAAACACCCCTCACTTGGCTCAAAGTAAGTAAATAAGTAAGTGATCTTTATTCATATAACATATTATAGTGACTTACAGGGCTCTTTGTTATTGTATGATCTTGGCACAAATTGTATTATTTATGAAACACAAAGTTAGGCCCCGGCCAAATATTTTTTGAATATTGAATGATGTTTTGACAATAAAAAGTACATAATCTAGGGTTAGGTCATAAATCAATAAAAAGCAATGCAATACTTTCATTTGTTTTACATTTTTTATTTTGAACTTTTCTTTATTTTCCCCATGACTTTCCCCCATGCCTTCTCCGCGTGGTGTTGTTTGTAGCGCCTCTAGTGGCGGCTCAGCGCATGGCTTCAGGCAAACCGCATTATCGCCTTCACTTCACTTTACTTTGTGTCGGAGCATAGACTGTTGGGAGCTCGTCCACATCTGAATGAATGAAGACTAGACAATGACCCGGAGCGGCACAGCACGACTTTAGCGGCTAACATTTCCACACACCAACTTCGACAACACCAGCGTAAGGTCGTATGGACTTTATACACAATTTAAGGAAACTATTGGAGGCTTTTTAACAACAAAGGACAGTCACCGTGTAGTCCCCCTATGGTAGTCCCACTCGCCGCTGCAACAGGTTTGACTCTAAAGTGCTGCCCGCGGGATGCTTTTGGCTCACTTTTCCCCAAACACAATGCAAACACCACATCTGTGCACTGATGAAGCGGGTTTAAAGGTTGACTATATGCTGTGTGGTTCGCATTGAGGGATCCACGACTCCGGGGGGACGCGACCTGAGGACAGCGGAAAGAAGAGCTGCTGGAGCGGCGTGTTTCGCAGACAGACAGCGGCTTTCCATGTTTAGATGGTGCCAGGCAAGTGGAGCATGAACGCTGTCCTGCACAAGTCACCGCAAAGAAGCTGGCTCGGGCTCAAGCTACGACTCAGTAAGTGATATTCAACATTTAAACATGGGGGAATGTGGAAACTTCTGTAGTTGATGTCAGATGCACCATTCATGGACACGATTACTCTTGTTTTGGTGTTGTGTTATGATGGAATGGTCAGTCCACATGTAATAGTCCAGTCTGAGTCATGCTATTGACCTGGATTAGTCCATATCCAGTGTACTAGGGCTGGGAGGGGTAATAATAGGGTTTCTAGATGTGATATAATGCACCACACGCTTCTGTCTGGGTGGGTTTCCTCCAGGCACTCCGGTTTCCTTCACCACCCAAAACATGCAAGTGCATGAATGTGATGAATGAGTAAAATGTGAATGATGATTGTCACTTCTGTCATTATGCCTCTGGGCAGTTGTGGCTACCGTAGTTTACCACCACTGTGTACAGGGAGAATGAAGTGACATGGCGCTAAGAGAGGCTTAAGATAAACTTTATTGATCTCACACAGGAGAAATTTACAGAAAGCCCTTTACTCAGTGCAAGGCAGTGCAATTTTATGATGTAATCACTATTCCACTTTTATAATAAAGAACTTGATGGAGCCTCAACCTGAAATTGTTGTAAAGTCTGCCTTTAAAATCTATTTTTGTCAGTTTTTCTAACTACTGTTCTTTGTTTGCAGTAAGTGTTTCTAGATGACTGTTGTCATCCTTTGCTGCCTGTGTGTCCATGAGAAAGAATGACTATTGTTGCCATACCTGCTTGTTAAAAACTCATCTTGTCAGATCTTAGAAGCTAAGCTGTCTGAGGCTTAAATAGTGCAGTGATGGGAGACCGCTGGGACCCAGGTGACAATGAGAATGCTGTGGCTCTGAAGTGCTAAACTACTGTTGTGTCCTGAGGCAAGTGTGCCTAAATGGGCGTGTAACATTTAAAAAATGTCACGATGTACACAATGCTTCAAATAGTTTTATTTGGTGACACTGATTACAATGTATTGTTTATGTTCCAGTTACAGAAATGGTCATTGAGTTTACATAAATCATATATTTTTTTTTATTTTCAAATTCTTACTTATGTTTTTTTTCAGTGCCTGTGTTCATATCATTTAAATGTATTTTTGTTAGATAGTAAACATTGACATTCTGCTTTGTCTGTGCACGTTGTCTGATTCTGCACATTTGGGTGTACATTGCCAGCCTCAGACCCTTCAATCTGCCCCAGGGGCAGCTGTGGCTACCATCATAGCTACACAAATCTGGTTGGTCTTACATTTGTGTCCTTTTGTCCTGTTATTTTTACATTATTTGGCCTGCGACCTGTGCAATTATCTCTGGTGGAGGAAAAGGTTATGTAAATGACTCCGTGGAGAACACAGTGGACTTTCCAACAATTCTCTCAAACTTCAAGTCTTTATCCTCAGAACGAGACCGGACAGCTCAGGATACTATGCTTTGACAGCTTTAACCTTTCATGAAATAGTGTTTACAGGAGCATACCTCTGCATGCTTGTCATCTCCGCTTCTCATCCATGGTCGTAATTTAGCTCCTTAATGTTCTCTATAAGCGTTTGTGCAGAGTTTGACTGTCGTAATGTCAGATTTTATGATTATTGTGAGAGGAAACACTGCGATTTTTAGATAGACGTAACTATTTAAACCATAAACACACTTGATATTCTCTGTATTTAATGAGGCAACAGTGTGTGGCCAGATTACTTAATTAAAACCCATTGGAGGAGATGTTATATGTGAGGCCTAAAATGTTCCACACCATGACATTTGACTGCAATCATAATGGCTGTCTGTAACTGCCATAGAGAAGTAGGTGGTTTGCAATTAAACCATTCCGAAAGAGTTGGTACATCACTGGTTTATGGTTTGTTTGGACTCTGTCTCAACCTTTTAAGAAACTTTGTCAGACAAACAAAGGGCTCTTGCTCACCTCACAGCCTTTTTCTTATCTGGTCAAAAGATTGACCAGTTGGAACTTAAGTTAACTTCTTTTTTGATATTTCTGTACTGATTCCTTTAAACAATCCCCGGTCCTACTCCGTGCTCTCTACATGAATGTGTGTATATCTCTAGCCTATTTTTCATTTGGCAGAAAACCATAACACAGGTGAGTCACAGAAGTTATGTTGTGATGGAATCAACATCGTGACATATTACAAGGTAATTGGAAATATATGTTTTATCTTCTTGGCAGCTAGAGCAGTGCCAGTATTGTGAGCCAAGTAAAAGGTGTTGGCGTCTTTCCTTGCACATGTGTACAGTGAGAGGAGTAAACTTCCCTAATTGGTTGAGTGTAGGAGCCGTCAGTGTTCCAGGCCACAGAGCGTAAGCCCGTCTTAAACACACGGACCTAATCCTGCAGCAGATGTCCTGTCTGCTCTGTCCACTGCCAGAAACGAAAGCACACATTCAAAACTCCACTACTGTCAACTCTAGGAACGCTAGATGGTCATGTTATACTAAGATCTGCATTGGAGCTATAGTAACTTCAATACGGTCTTTTGCTTCAATGTGTCACCGGTAATGCAATGATCTCTTGTTCAACAGAATTGGCTTAATCCTTGGTGTTATGTTTTCCCACTTTATTTTTACATGTACTATCCCATGTTCGCAAGACTCTTCTTCTCTATAGAAGAAGAGTCTTAAATAGACTGAAAGTCTTCTAAAGGTGAAAGTCATCTCAGTCAGAAGCATTCCCTGCAGGTGATCTTAAGTTCTAAGCAGCTTCAGTTGATTATTATTCAGTATGATCTAAACTGCATGCAATTATAGAACACACTTCAAAATGTATCAACATTCATGGACATTGCTTGTGTATTTTTTGTGTCTTAACTGTTAATTCTCTGATCTGTGTTGGTGATTTCAATGGTTTTGTTTAGTACTCTGAGATGACTGCTGTTGTGATTTAGGGCTAAACAAGAAAACTTGTATTGTATTGGAAAATCATAAAGGATGTCATGTCTAGTGTCCACCTGAAATTCTGAAATGGGCAGGGACACACCGCTTCATGACTCCCATGCACCTTCTGGTTTATTTCCACGATAAGGGAATAATCAGTGCCGGTGTATTTTTTTTTTTTTTTTTTTTTTACCAATACTGATAAAGTTGTTTTCTTTTAGATTATGCTCTGCCTATTATATCTGGTGTAATGTATGGACTGTGAACAAACATGAAAATATTGATTTCCATTTGGTGGAGCTGAATTTGCCTTACTAAGGATTGCTTGATTTTTTTTGTCATTAAATATTGACATCTAGAGACTCTAATCTTCGAATTGATTTTAGACATGTGTATGTAATCAGTGCTGAAGTTGACTGGATGATGGCGTGAATTGGTTGATTGTTTGTTTGCAGATACCTTTTTAGTTATTATCAATAGATGCGAGGATTATAACACAGCAAGAGAATTATACAAATTCAGAGTTTTAAAATGAAGTAAAACATTTCGATATTGGCTGAGATCATGTTTGAAAAAAATTAGTCTGAATGATTAAAAACAAAATGGAATTAAAGCCGCAAGCAGCGTCGAACGGCCCTCGCCACACAACGCAACCGAGGTGGCGCTGACGCGCCATTTTCCTACCGCCTTGACGGGAGCGACACTGTGCATTTTGAATTCCTATGATCAGTGATTGTGTGTGTCTTTGAAAAGGTAAACCTCATTCTCCCCATGTAATACTTGACTCAGTCTGTAGGGGGCGCTATTGCTGCAATTTCGTCTTTAACACTTTCAGTTTACCCAAACCCGAGAGTTGAACAATCAATTCAAATTTTGTGCAAATCGGACTTTGTATGTGCAAATGGTGGCATTTAATGTTGTACAACAGCGCCCCCTACAATTTAATTTTTTTAGTGTTATACCAAAGAACACCAAAATAATACATTTTATGCCTAAAAAGAACTTGTTGCAAAGTTTGGTGAGTTTTCATGTTTGTTCAGTGGGTCAAATATGAGATCAAACAACAGAAAACCTAAATACCATTATCCCCATGTAAACTTTTATTCAGCCTGTAGGGGGCGCTAATTGCCAAATGTCATTGTTCACACTGTCATGTGACCTAGGCCCAGGAGTTGAACAACCGAGTCAAGTTTGGTGAATGTGCTCCTGTTTGCACATAAAATATGAGTGTGTTCTTAGAGTCTCCATTGGATAACATGGGAACTTCACACCTCTCAATTCAAGTATTGATGGTCCATGTGTTGAGAAGATGTGGAGCGATTTTCAGCCAAATTAGTGAAACGGCCGCGGCTGGTTTGATGTTTGAGCGAGGTGTACTTTTAAGAGATTTAACGATTTTCCCATAAACACAGACAGGGGAGTGTTTATTGTCGCCACGGCAACAGGGTAAAAAATAATCATATGTTGTCATTGACTTTTTGAATCCAGATGACAAAACAGAATTATTTGCAACATTTAAAACATTTTGAGAAAACTAAATTTTATTAGGCCCATGCAAAACTTTGACATGGTCTGTAGGGGGCGCTCATGAGCCAATTTCAATATTTCCACTTTCAAATGACCTAGACCCTGGAGCTGAACAATGGATAAAAATGTTGTGCAAATCCGGCTTTGTTTGTGCAAACGGGAGCAAATTTACTTTTGTCAAAAATTGAAAAAAAAAATGTCACATTTTGCTGCTCCGCTGCTCGGACAAAGTTTAACTGATAAAAATTCTATATTCAATAATTGATGGAGCATGTGTTTAGAGCATGTGGAGCGATTTTGAGAGAAATTGGTGAAACGGCCGAGGAGGAGATAATTTCCTACCGACATGTGTGAAAAATATCAATTTTCATTTTTCCATTTCCCATTTAAATTAATGAGCTCCCTGTTTGTCAGGGGGCGGAGCCATAATAACTTTTTTTCATGACCTGAGGAACCTGAGGAACATGTGTACCGAATTTCGTGGCTCTACGACAAACTTAACCTCCGACCCGCTCCCATAGGCGCAATGTAAACTGACTTTTGTAGGGGGCGCTGTTCTGTCATTTTTTTAGTCCACCACCAAAAAAATACATTTTTCGCCGG